TTTTTTGATTTAGTGGGCATTTGTTTTGTTAGCGCGTGAAGCCCACATTGTTTTAGGGCAATTGAGGCAAACATTGCCCCAAGCTCTTCCACCTCATTCGGGCAATTCAAGGAGGAGTGAATTCGGTGGACGTAGTGGTACTTAGAACATCTCCAACGTTGCACCAGATGCGGCATCATATTTGAATTTGATGAAAAAAGTCACATTTTCTGTCTCCAATGGTTTCACTAGGGTGATATCAAACTGAGAAAGAATCAAATATTTCATCAAACTGAGGATACGCCTGAGATTTCACCAGTTCACTATTTGTTAACATTGGAGTGGGGCCCACCGGTCAGCCGGCCGGACGTCCAACCAGTTGACCCACCAAACGTCCAGCTGGTTGACCCACCGGTAGACTGGCTTATGCAAAAATTGGCCTGCGAACTGGTTCAAATGATTCAAATTACTGGTTCAAATGGTTTAAACAAAATATTGATCGGTCGACCGGTCGACCCACCAGATGTCCCCTTTCCTTTTGATGCACACTACAATAACCATAACCATTGGAGCTACGCGTATCAGATCAATAAAATCAACCTTTTTTTACTCAGATTTGGTGAAAATTTTGCTAAACTGTTGGAGATGCTCTTATTATCTTTTGGGTAAATTATCAATATGTCATAATAATTGGATTTAATTCTCATCAAGTTATACTGAAAATAAGTCTTAATAAAATCGTCACTAAAATTAATTTTTGTGACGATTTATTGCATGTCATTAAAAATTGACAATTAGTGACCTTTTTTTACACGATTTTTTATAAATTGTTACTAAAACTTACAATTAGCAACATTTTCTGTGACAAAATTTTCAAACTATCGCTGAAAGTTAAAAATTAATGACTCTTTTTGTGACGATTTTTTTAAACTGTTGCTAAAACTTATAATTAGTGACATTTTTTGTGACAAAATTTTCAAACTATCGCTGAAAATTAACAATTAGTGATTTTTTTAATAATGTTTGATGGAAAAATGCCATTAATTATCACAAGACCAATTGGATAATAAATCCATCTATTAGGACCAATATGTAAGTCTCCTTTATCATTTTACTGCCTCTCAGGTCTCCTAACTGATTTTACCATAAAGGCCAATGATAGACAATAACTCTTCTCCAAGCACAATTTACAACTTTCATCATATTGTGCTCTCAAAAGAGCCATTCTTCTCAAAATCTTACTCAAGGGGTATTGAGTTGGAACCCATTCTACACAATGATTCGTATGGTTCCAAAGGATCCAGCTACAAGAGAACCTAGAACGGAGAGTTTTCCCTCATTTTCCACCCGATTCTTTGGTCTTAAGAATGTTGGTTCTAAGAATGGGTGTTACTCTTCTTTGACTCTTACAACCTAACTTGAGAACAGATAGTTAATGCGTTTCACTTATTGAGCAAGGTTCTATGGCCAGTCCATGACCTTTGGGGGTCGGTTTTCACCATTATCAATTTGGATAGATGGTATCTTATTGGATAATATAAATTGAAATAAAAAACTTTAAGAATTATATAGATACAACTAATAATTTGACAATATTTATTTCGACCCCGCTACGTAGCTCGAATCCGTGGCTTGAATCTGTGGCTCGACACCAAAACGACGTCGTTTTGGTGTCTTTGTTTTTTTTTTTTTTCTTTTTCCTGTGTTTTTGTTGCAGAAGGAAGACGAAGAGGAAGGGTGGAGAAGAAGAGAAGGAGAAGAGAAAGGAGGAGGAAGAGAGGAGGAAGGAGGACTGGAGGGGGCATAATCACAGGGGAGGAGGAGGCGGTGGCGGGGCCGGAGGCCACGGCGGTGGTGCTGCGACGACCGGTGGCGGCGAGGCGACGGCGGTGGTGATCTCCTCTCCTCCTCTCTCTTTCTCCCTCTCTCCTCCTCTTTCTCTTCTTCCTCTCTTCTCTCTCTCTTCCCTCTTCCTCTTTTCTCCTTTCTCTCTGTCTCTGTTTTTGAATTCGAGCTATTTTTCGAGCCACAGATTCGAGCTACCAATCTTTTTCTTATTTATTTATACTTTGTTTGGTCAATTGGTAAGAAAGTAATTACAAATATAAAAATTATTATATAAAATTGACTACTAACCTAACAATAAGTAGAAAGTTAACAATTAGGAAGCCTAACAATTATCACTAGCCTAAAATAAACAATTACATACAGCTCGGAGAAATAAACATTATGAATATCGAATACTGTGTTATAGGAAATGAACCTGTAACCTCACATCAGTAAGTGGTCCTACATAGCTACTAGTCAAAGTTCCTAAAACCACAATACTTGATAAATATATCTCAATAGAGAAAAAAATTATTACGTGATTCTAAAATAAATTTTTTTAGCGTCTCAAATTGTGTTTTATTGATTAAGATAATAAAATTTATTATTTTGTATTGACTTTCGAAAATGAAAAGGATAAGCTGCAAAATATGAATAGTTTAAAAATATTTGAAATATGATACATAGTTATAACATTCAGATAAAGAGAAAAAAAAAGGCACCCCATCTAGAGTCAAGAGTCTCTCCTTGCAAGTTCGTGCTTGCGTCCGTCCTTGCAGGCCTTCGGGTCTACTTTTAGCCTCAATTTTGATAATCTGAACCGTTCATATTTTATGATTTATTCAGTATATCATACCTGTAAAAAATCAAGTTGATCGGATATCAAAAAGTATGTGTTTGAAAAATTGAACTAAACATTATTTTTTAAAGAATTTAATAAACAGTTTTCCGAACACATGCTTTCTGATATCCGATCAACTTGATTTTTTACAGGTATGATATACTGAATAAATCATAAAATATGAACAGTTCGGATTATCAAAATTGGGCCTAAAAGTAGACCCGAAGGCCTGTAAGGACGGGCGCAAGGACGGAAGCCGCAAGGAGAGGATCCTCACTCCCCCATCTAACACCACCAAACAACCACTCATTAAAATCACCCACCCACCCAATTATTACAGTCATGGATCACACTCAACGAAGCGAAGAAACGTTGGTTTCGCTTAGTTTTGAAATTCATGTTAGAAGATAAAATTTTGAAAATAATTTTAAAAATTTAAAATTTATTTGATTATAAATTTTAAAATTATATATTTTGAAGGTAGTTTCTAAAAATTTTACAAATTGATAACTTGTTTTTTTTGGGGTCTTTTTTTTTTTTTTTTTTTTTTGTCCCACCCACGCACCCAATTATTACAGTCATGGATCACACTCAACGAAGCGAAGAAACTTTGGTTTCGCTTACTTTTGAAATTCATTTTAGAAGATGAAATTTTGAAAATAATTTTAAAAATTTAAAATTTATTTGATTATAAATTTTAAAATTATATATTTTGAAGGTAGTTTCTAAAAATTTTACAAATTGATAACTTGTTTAGTTAGGAGTTTTTTTTTTTTTTTTTTGTTTTTTTGTCTTGGGGTCAAAATTTTTTACAATATTATTATAGTCAATTTTGTTTACTTTTTTTTACATATATAGTTAATTTTATTTTTATTTTTATCATTATAAATTTTTATTTTTATTTTGTTTACTTCTTTTACATATGTAATCTAAATGTACTTTGTAAATATAATCTATAAGGCAAAGTTTCATATGTATATATTAGTTCGTAAAAACGTTTTTAAAATTTTAAAATTGTTTTTCTGACTTATATTTACTCAATATACATATATTTAAAAAGTTTGATATTTAAAATTTTTTGGATTGCTCATATATATCTAAAACATAACAAATTATTTGACCAATACTTAAAGAAATTTAGGAAAAAATTTTAAATTTACTTTTCTTTGTACTATAGATCAATCAATTATTTTTTCTCTCTACTCTCTTTCTAAAAAAATAATTTTTTGATTGTGTTGATTTGAAGATATTATCTCAATTATTTTTTGATTGTGTTGATTGTATTGTTTTGTGTTTTGAAATATTATTTCAAAAATAATTTTTTAAAAAAGATTTAGAAAATTTAATTTTTTTTGATTATATATTTGAAAATAGTTTTAAAGTTTGTGTTGATTTGATATTTTTTTATAATTGAACCAATGAGTATGAAAGAAAAAATAAAATAAAATTTATTTAATTACAAATTTTGAATACTTTTTTAAAAAAAATAAACGAGTTGAATATAAGATATAAAAATGTAAAATCAATTAAAATTTTTGGGTATGTTTGATTTGGTTGTGAGAGAGTAGTTTTTAAAAGGGTCCAGCTTGTTTCAAGTTGAGATCAAGACTGGACCCGTCCAGTTCGGCCCGTGAGGCCTATTTTTGGGGTCCATTTTGATAATCCGAATCGTTCAATATGTAGAATTCGTCGAGTACTACATGTCTGTAAAAAATCACGTTGATCAGATATCAATAGCTATGTGATCAAATCCGTTTTGTATAAAAAAATGGACAGTGAAACAATTAACGGTTGATAAAAACTGTTTTGTTTACATAGCTATCGATATTCGATCAACGTGATTTTTTTCAGACATATAGTACTCGACGAGTTCTATACATTGAACAGTTCAGATTATCAAAACGGGACCCGTGGTGGGCCCCTACGGGTCCAACAACACGATCTAATCCGATCTAATCCGATCAACGTGATTTTTAAAAATCGTTTTGAAGAGAGAGTTTATAATTTTTTTAATTTATTTGGTTGTGTATTTTGAAAGTAGTTTCGAAGTTTGGGAGTTTGAAATAATTTAATATTTTATTATAATTAAGTAAATATGTATGAAAAAAAAAATAATTAAAAAAGAGAGAAGATAGAAAAAAAATAATTAATTAATATATAAAAGAAAAAAAATTATTTCAAAAAAATTACAAACCAAGTAATTATTTTAAAATTTTTTCCTCAAAATCACTCAACAAAACCAAACCGACATAGCTTTTATTTTGGACTGTCAAATTTTGACTCGAAGTAAACCACAAGAGTCATGTTTCGGTGCTTTCATTTTTTCCTTCTTCCAGCCGGCATACTCTGAGCGCAAAATCTAACTATTTGTAATAATAAATTAAAAAAAAAAAAGAAGCCATAATCCAAACCCAAGCACACCGCCGCCGGAAATGACGGAAGAAGAGAAGTCAATCCAAGAAGAGCTCACACTCCTAGTCCTACTGGCCGACCGCCTCATCAAATCTGCCAAAGAAGCCGAATCCTCGAAGTCCGACTGCGCCGATCTCGCCAAGCAAGCCGACCTCCTCTCCCTTAAGCTCCGATCCGCCGTCCGCCTCACCACGACGACCACGACCACGACGACAACCACCGCCCAGTCGTCTCTCTACGAGCGCCCCGTCCGCCGTATCGCCACCGACGTCTCCAAAACCCTGGAACGAGCCCTAACCCTAGTCCGCAAGTGCAGGCGGAGTGGCGTTCTCCGGCAGGTGTTCGCCATTACCACCAGTACCGACTTCCGCAAGGTCTCCAGCCTCCTGGAATCATCCATCGCCGACGTCAGCTGGCTCCTCTCCATCTTGGACTCGGCCGAAGGCGGCGGCAGCCTCTCCCTCCCACCCATCGCCAGCAACGACCCCATCCTGGCCATGCTCTGGTCCTCCATCGCCTCCGTCCAAATGGGTCGCCTCCTCCGCGACCGCCTCGACGCCGCCAACAACCTGGCCTCCCTAGCCCGCGACAACGATCGCAACAAGAAGATGATAGTTGAAGAAGGTGGAGTTGTACCCTTGCTCAAGCTGTTGAAAGAAGGGGCTTCCCCTGATGCTCAAATGGCCGCCTCCACTGCTCTTTTCTACTTGGTTAATGATAAGGACAGGGTCCGATCCATCGCCCGCGAGCTGGCTGTACCCTTAATTGTTAAGGTTCTGGCCGATTCCCCCATCAGAGTTCAGGTTTTGGTGGCCAATTTGGTGGCCAAGATGGCCGAGATTGACCCGGAGGTTCAGGAGGAGTTTGGGAGACAGAATGCTACTAGGCCTTTGGTGACATTGTTGTCTATGGATACAGTGTTGGATGATCCTAAGCTTCTTCAGTCAAGTAAGACTAGTATACATTCTCTAGTTGAGATAAATAAGGAGTTAGCTAGAAACCCATTTAGCCACCAGTCGAATTCTGATGGTAGCAGTCGGGGAGGGCACCATAAGAAGGACAAGGATGGGGAGGTTGAGTTACCTGAGTTGAAACTTGCTCTCAAGATTAATTGTGCAAAGGCTTTGTGGAAACTCTCAAGGGGGAGCTTATTGAATAGCAGGAAGATAACTGAAACCAAAGGGCTGCTTTGTTTGGCGAAGATCATTGACAAAGAACGAGGGGAATTGCAGAGTAATTGCTTGATGACAGTGATGGAATTAGTTGCGGTAGCAGAGTCTAATTCTGACCTTAGACGTGCAGCTTTCAAGCCCAACTCTCCGGCTGCAAAAGCAGTTTTGGAGCAGCTTCTCATTGTTGTAAACGAAGAAACCAGTCCGGGACTATTAATTCCTGCCATTAAATCTGTTGGGTCTTTGGCTCGAACATTCCCTGCAAAGGAAAGTCGAATAATTGGTCCGTTGGTCACCCAACTTGGCCATAGGAATGCAGATGTGGCAACTGAAGCCGTGATTGCCCTTAGTAAATTTGTGTCTCCAGACAATTTTAATTGCATGGAGCACTCGAAGGCGATTATTGACTTTAATGGTGTCCCACGGCTAATGAATCTGCTCAGGGCCAATGGTCGGGATCAAGTGCATGAACTTGTATTGCTATGCTACCTTGCCTTGCATGTTGGTAACAGCAAGGCTCTTGAACAGGCTAGAGTACTGAATGTTCTCGAGGGGGCAGCTCGTTCTGTGGTGGCTCAACATCCTGATTTGAGAGAATTGTTTGTCAGGGCCGTAAACCATCTCTCTCTATTAGGCTGGAGTTCATACCCATAGACAGGCTTATGCACCATATATGCCATGGCTTGAGTAGCCTAAAACAGTTTATTTTGATGGATGTGTCTTGCAACTCCAATGTCCACGGCACAGATTGTTACATTGTACACACAATGAAACCAAAGGCGCATGGCATGGAAAATGGTTTGTTCATATTGCCAATTCATCATTCTAGTAAATGTGTTGATATTATTAGTGAAGATGAGTTGATGGATGGAAAATGTGTTGATGTGTTCTCTGTGATGTTAACGAAATACCAACTTGTCTCTTTGTATGAAAGTTCCTTTTTGCATGGTTTAATGTCATTTTATTGCTACAACCTATAAGGAAGTAACAAAGTGATAAGTGATCCTGAGTTGGCGGCATTGTTGTTGGAATTGCAGTTTGTTATATAAATATATATAAAAAAAAAAACAACGCCCAATATGTACACATTAATGTGTGTTTGGGAGGGGAAAGATTGAGTACACACCTAACCTTTAGCATAAAGCGTAAAGTGGTGGTCCCAAGACTTGAATCCATAATCTCAAGGTTTTTAGGCCAAGTCTTAACCATTATATATATATATATATATATATATTTTTATGTGTATATCTTTGCCAACTGATTTGCACGGTGTTGTTCTTGTTAATTGGTGAGCAATCAAGAAATTTTGGAGTTAAAATTTGGCTTGGCATTTTCAAACCGCTTATCTACTTTTGAGACAGTAGTAAAAAGATTTCCAATCTCAAAGCTATTATTTTTTAAATGATAGTGAAGTGAGAACTAACTATTGCTAAGTGTTTTTGCATTCATTGGGATGCACAAATTAACTGCATACTTAAATGTTTAATTGAAAGTGCATGCTTAAATGTTTAGTTTTAAATGTTTTCAATAGTCTTATTATTTCTTAGGAGTAATGCTGTTAATTTTAATTGGCTGATATAGCATGTCTTCCAGTCTATTCATTTGTACGATTTACATTTTGATTGGCTGATATTGCCTTTCTGTCACTCTGCTCCTCACTGAATCTCAACCAAAGACACCGTGAGCACTCTCCTCTATCCCAGTCGTCACCTTCACAGATGCTCTGACCTTGCTTTCAAAAACCCCTAATTTGTTTTTGGTGTTATGAGATTCGAGGTCTAGGCATTGAGTGTTCAAAGCTATTGTTGGTTTTTCTACGAATCGATGCTGATACAATCAAGGGTGTAACTCCGCAACGGTAAGAATCTTCAGTAATAATCTCCAGCAAAGGGACGACGACGAAAGGTTCGATCTTCGTTGGATTTTGTTTCTCAGATATATTATATTGCCACTACTTTCTCATGCCCAAGAACAATTGGAACAAATAACATATTGAATCTTTTTCTTCAGTGTTTGACCTCATTTTTATGGGTCTTCCGGAAAAACTCAGAAGTGCCACTTGCATTTCACTTTAGTTTGTTATTTTAATCAACATACTTCTGTGGGTGCTTAGCACCCAGTCTCATTCTAATCTTTTTCCTCTCTGGAAAACATAACAAGATCTAACATTAATGGTATGTGAGTACCTTTTTGATGATTTTTTTAATTGAATTTAGATTTTGTTTGCTTTGATAGAAGATTTTATGCTTTAATTTTTATTCGTGACACTTTTGTTCATATGATAAAGAGCTTTCATTGTTGATGAATGGAATAATTGATTAGACATTTTTTTTTTTGAAAGGTAAAGAATTTTCATGATTTAATCACATGTCCCATTGCTTCTAGCAAGTTTTGTGTGCAGAGATTGTAGTTTTCAGCAGCTAATGTTAGTATGTTACCTTTAGGTTAGACTAACCTATAAGAATTACATGATTGCTCTTTCATATTTTGTTGTGTTTAAATTTTTGGGTTTCAAATCAATGGGGCTACCCCAATTGTCTAGAAGAACTCCTGTGTCTCCCTGCTTGTAGGAATGGCAACGGGGCGGGGCCGGGGACCACACTTCCCGTCCCCGATCCCCGACAGTGAGAAATTCCCCGTCCCCGATCCCCGACGGGGACCCCATCGGCCCCCCCGCCCCCGATCGGGGATCGGGTTTCGTCGACCCCAAAAATCCCTGACCTGTTCATTTTTATTTTTTTTAACACAAAAATAACAACAAGAATAATTTCATTCTGTTGTATTCAGGATAACAAAGATGTGTTACAGTAGTTCAAAATCCATCAGATACAATGTAATAAATCAACATGAATTCAAGCAAAGAAAAGTTCGTAGAGAGAATTTGAATGATCAACTGATAGATGAAAAAAATAAATAAATAAACAGGTTGTAAAACACTATATCTATAAATAAACAGGTTGTAAAAAAAAATGAACTTTGGCCAAACGTTTCAAGCATTTGAGTCTCGTAAGGTGAATGCCTATAGCGACGCTTTCTACCCCTTGAAGAACTTGATGATTCAAACTCTTCTGAAGACATGAATTCAACCATTGATATGTCTCTCTCTATGATCTGCTACAACAAAATGGTTATATATGAAAACATGTTACCAAAGATTGACTTTGAATTGATAAAAAAGTTAATTCATTTAGAGAACAAGCAGCACAGAAGAATGTAACCCGGATAGAGGCGGTGTTGCGAAGATGTTCAGATCTGCGGATCGCCGGACAGAGGCGGTGTTGCGAAGAGGTCGGACAGAGGCGGTGGTGGTGGAGGATCACCGGACAGCGGAGGCCGGACAGAAGCGGCGACGAAGGCGGTGGTGGTGGAGGATCGGCGGATCTGTTCAGATCTGTTTAGATCTGATCTAGATGATGATGACAGAGGCAGGATCGGCGAATCTACAGGGAGAGGGAGAGAGAGATGAGAGACGTGGTCTGAGGGAGTAGAGAGAACGACGGTGAGAGAGAGAGTGAGAGTGAGAGAGAGAGCAGCCTCGTGTTTGTTTGTGTGGTGATTGTCAACAAACCCTAAACACACACATATATATACACAGGGGCATACTCGTAATATCACTTCGGGAAGATACGGGGACGGGGACGGGGACGGGGACGGGCCGGGTCCGGGGCTGTGAATGTTATCCCTGTCCCAGGCCCGAAATGCTTCGGGGATTTAATTTCAAATACCATCCCCATCCCCACGGGGGTATTTTTCAGGGAAAAACCATTCTGATCGGGGTCGGGGGGTCGGGTCCCCGTCGGGCCGGGTTCAAATTGCCATCCCTACCTGCTTGTGTGTGGTGATTGTTTGGGAAGTGCTAAATAAGTATACTTTTTAATTTTTTACGAAAAGATGTGAAGAAAAATATAGAAGTGATGTGATTCAAAAAGATAAAAAAAATGTGCTAATATAATACTTCCCAAACAACATATATAGGGACTTTTCTCTCCCATTTTGAGAGTTTATTTGTATTAATTATATGCTGTGTTTGATTTTCGTCATTATGATTATAATTCATTGTGTTTCAAAGTTGATGTACTTTGAGGTCTCGTTTGGCAACATGTTAATTTAGTAATTTTTTAGCTATTTGGTTAAAATATGAGTTCAAAAAAAATTGTATGTTTATGATGACTTTTTGACTTTTTACGAAAAGATGTGCAAAAAATAAAGAGAAAAGAGAATCTTTGACTTTTTTTGTATGGATTGTTGGTTTTTTGACTAATTTATTAACTTTTTAACTTTTTAGTTAAAAATAAATGTTCCTAAATGAGGCCTGAGTATTGAATTTTAAAGTTTTGAATTTAAAATCAACTCTCACTCGCTACTCTCACCGACACCAAAGCCTCTCCATAAATCTTTCCCATTTACCTTCTACTTTAAGGTTTCCCAGATCTGAAATTATAGTTTAGACAACTCTGCACCTCCTTATATATTTAGAGATATACAGTTACTTTATTATAATTTTAAGCATGAAGATTTATGAAAAATGATTTTAAAATTCTGTTTCGTTGTGTTTGAATGATTTTCGCTAACATTTCGTTTGGATTGATGTTTGGTTTAAGCACTTCATAAATCCTCCAAAATTGGGTGGAAATGAAAGGGAAGTGTTTTTCATAATAACATTTTGTAATACGAAATATATTCCTTTCCTTCTCTCTAAGTATTATCTAACAAAACAAGTGGGAGGATACCTCCCCTCCCTTTTCTTTTCCTTCCTTCCTTCCTTCCCCAACTCTCCCCCTCCTCAGTTAATCCAAACGGACAGTAAGGGGTTTTGACTTTTTCTTTTCGGGTCTTTAAAGTTGAAATTTAATTGAATATATATATATATATATATATGTCACTTGTTCTACATCAATAGGAGTTAGTAAGGGTTAGATGATGTCAGTGGGGAAGGTGAAACAACAAAGGGTATCAACCTCCTCTTCATAGGAGTTGAACCCGCAACTTTATACCACAAAGTGGTGCTCCACAACCACTTGGGGATTCGGCATATACAATTCTGGGGGATTTGTTTGTAGGCATTGGATAATACCTAAGAAGTATGGACACTTACACGTGACACGATACGGATATGACACGGACACGCCGACATGTTAATATTAAAAAAACACAGGACACGACACGTGGAGGATATGTATGAAATATATAATTTTATATACTTATTATATGTTATATATATGAATATATCATTCAAAGATAATAAAAAATATAATATGACACTAATCCTATAAATTTATGTGGCTTTTGTTTTATTATTGTATCTTAAGTTGTTTTATTCAAACTTATAATTAGTTTCACATATGTCTAATCGATAGACACATGTGTTTAAGAGATACACACGTGTGTCCTCCAAGTGTCCAAAGAGTGTCTGAGTCTTTAAAAAATAAGACACATTTTGAAGAGTGTTAGACATGTGTCCGGGAAGTGTCCAAAGAGTGACGGTGTCCGACGCGGACATGACACGGATACGTTATTTTCTTAGAAGTGTCCGTACTTTTTAGAGTAACACTAAAAATAGTGAAATTTAATTAAACCAATATCCCGTAGCCTAGGCATTTATTATAGTTAACTGTATCTATTTCTTTCTTTTTTCTTTTTTTTTTTCTTTTTCTTTTTTTGTTTTTGTTTTTGTTTTTTGTTTTTTGTTTTTTGTTTTTTTTTTGTGTGTTTTTGGGCTCAAAATTACATTGAAATAGAATTGCTGCTCCATCTATTTATTGTTGCATTCATTTTGGGTGGATATGGAAATTTCGCACCATACATACTCCATCTTTGTCCCAATTCGAAGTGATGATTGGTTGTCTTTTATATCAAAGTAAATAACTAATCTTTGTGGACTGATCATTTTGTTTAATTATTTAGTGAGATATTTAGCTTCATTTTTTCCCCTGCATATCAATGTAAATAATTGATCTTTGCCTTGCAGTTCTT